CCTCCCTAGACAGTGTTGACTAAATTTAAGTTGAGGACCCACCCTCTGTGCGGCTTTGGTTGGCAGCAACCAGGATACTTTCTTGAGGGAGGAAGAGAGAGGACCCTGGGAACGAGGTTGGTGTGGGGATTATAAATGCGTTTGACGCTCGGCAAACATGGCTACGTGGAAGTGTGGCGTTTATGTTGTTGTGGGAACCATAGTCATAGTTTTAACAATTCTGCTAAATTTCGACTTTCTACCGAAAAGAAGGTTATCTGAAGAGCTAGAGCTGACAACAAAAAGCAGTTCCAAAGGATCTACAACATCGAAAGGCATACCCAGCACGGTAAAGGTACCGACTAAGAGAACCACTAGTAATCTTCATTCAACTGCAGCGAAGGTAAGATTATTAAAATTTAATGCCAAATGTATTTATTTCTTACGTAACTATACCGAAGGTTCCATTTGTATGATTACAGCAATGTTTCCAACTTTAAAGACACGTTTATACATTGCCCAAAATTTCGTCAGAACATATACGGTCAGCTACGGTATGCATGAGTCCTTCTCGAGTTTACCCAAACTTGTACGTGGAACAAATGGTACAGTTGAGTCTTAAGCTTAAGCTTAATGGTTGGTATCAAAACTAGCAAGAGTTCTAGAGCTAGTGAAGGTGTTAGACCTTAGAAAGTCAGAAACTCTCGACAAATTTAAAGTCGACGAAGAACAATGAACCTTAGGGAATTAATCAGCGAAAATTGTAGTAAGCTTAAGGCCCGGGTCAAACGCCGTACTTCACAGGAGCTGAACCCAATTCAACCAATTAGGCTCATGTGAAGTTCAACGTTTGACCCAGTTAAGTTCGACTGATTTTATGTGGAGTGGCTGAGGCGTTCTTCATGCCTAGCCAGCCGTGAATAATGCCTGAAGACCAACTTTGGGTCAAACGCCGAATTGAACCAAACGCATAAAGAGGATCGGTACAAAACATGGACCCCTCAATCTGGACCCTCTACTAGACCCCCCTTTGGACCCGATCTGGACCCCTTCTGGACCCCTTCTGGACCCCAATTTGGACCCCCATCTGGACCCCTTCATGACCCCCATTTAGACCCCCTTCTGGACTAAGAACTGTGCGTGTTCTTTCATTTATGACAAAAAGAAACACTTGCTTTGGAGCATCTTTATCGATAGACAAGTGTAAATTATGGCATCTAGAAACTGTGAAATGCTCTTGGTCCACAGCTGCTATATTTCGAAAATGCACTTCACCTAAAACTGTTCACGAATTCATTCATTCCTCTGCATTTCTCGCCATTTTAATGAGCTGCCGCTTCCCTTTGACGTACTCTTGTGTTCTTTACGGAGGTCGATTAAAATTTCTCCTTCTAAGGTGAATGAGCGCTTCCTGTTCAGATCATGGTTCAAGTGTGACGGTTCCTTGCAAACTTGGCTGATATGGTGTAGCCGACACATATTAGGAAAAAACTAGAAATCCACTCCAGTAATACAACTGTTTCAAACTGTTGTTACCACTCGCCGCGTTCAGTACAAGATTATACACTTGTTTGTGCCACAGTGAACAACATCTCCCAAACAGACCATGATGACTGACACATTTCACAAAAAAGCCAATGCACAGCACTGATAAGAGACCACTAACCTGGTTTATACCACGTGGATAGGTAGTGTAAAATTGACCTAAAAAATCTATTGTTCTTCAATTAATTTCCATGATAACCGTAAACCCGGTTTAAGTTCAATGAACTGCCAAAAATAGCAGCCACTCACAATTTTTTGGTAACCTGGTTAATTGTAATTGATTAATTGGATATAACCCGGTTAACCCTCATAGTGCGGCTGCACCCATTATATTATTCTAGACACAATGGTGCATGAATTCATTAATTTCTTCACATCGTGCTCACTGATTAAATAGACTTCATCATGTTATGTTCTAAGTTTAATTATTTAAATCAGAAGCCCGTATTTTCTGGAAGAAAAAATGGGGGGTCCAGATGGGGGTCCAAATGGGGGTTCAGAAGGGGGTCCAGAAGGGGGTCCAGAAGGGGTCCAAAAGGGGGTCCAGTGATCCTGATCAAGGGGTCTTCGTTTTGTACCGACCCGTCTAAAGCCGCCATTTTGACTTTACCTTGAAAAACTACTGACCAACAAGACCACTTGTGTTAATTGTTTGGTGTAGCAGTTCAGTTCGACGTTTGACTCAAACAGGCGTTCTTTTAATTATTTGAGTCGACCCAAACTGTCATTAGTTCAGTTCATGTGAAGTACTACGTTTGACCTGGGCCTAATTCTCTATTAAGCTTATGTACTAACTAACCTTGTAGTTTTAATCATTTTTATTAGCCTAGTCTTTTTTTAGTGCAGAGTGCACTATTGGGATGGTTTTGGGGGCTGCTTGCTGCTAACGCACTATTCGCTGTTGCACTATGGCACTAAGGTGTAAACTTTAATGTTGGTCTAATTAAATAATAAACACTTAATGACTGGCCCCAACGGAAACAGGGAGTTTCGCAGTATTCCAGTTAAGAGATGGGTCTCGGGTCAAAAACCCGACGGCAACCGCTACCTGACCCGACACTGACGAAAAGGAAAATCGGCTAAAGTACTCATATAAATTAAAGTAGTATAATTATGAAAGAAAACAAAAGTAAATAAAAGAGTGAAGTTTCTAATGAAAAACGATTGAAAAAAATTACTGTAATACAAGATATCAAGGAAAAGAAGTTTGAAAAAACAACTCAACAAAATTCCAAAAGTGACTTGACTTGCGAATCATTTGGTCCTCTGTTAATTTAGCAAATAAAAGAGAATGTGCCCCAGAAATGTCTCTGTGTGATTTTCTCCTCGGTTACGTAGCATTTGATCAATTTCTTCCCCAATCGAATTTCATTTCTTTGTAAACAAGATTACAAAATGTTACATGAACAGCAGCCGGACTCCAACAGGCCGACTATCATTGAAAATTGTGGAGAAAATTCATTGTTTAATCCTTAGAACTACTGTAAATAATCTGCCAAAAATCAGGTCTGTAAAAAGCTAGTTTAAGTTTTTGTTTTTGTCTGTATAAGGTCATTTTCTGAAGTCACGCCTGACTAATTGTGGAAGCTTGACAATATTTATTGTCGCTTTACGATACTTTTCATGAATTAAACAAGCGATACCTTTCAACTTTCTCGATATTGATGAGTTAATTTTAAAGTAAAGGAAGAGGGGAAAAATTATTTTTCTCTCAGAGCTCAGCAAAGTCTCCTGCTCGCATTACCAGTTACGTGCTTTGGTGGGAATGTCAAATCCAAATATATTTTCGCATGAGAACCAAGCCGTGACGGCCGATGTGACGGCCCAAACATGCAAACCCAGCACCAGGAAATCATTTGCCCCAAAATGAAGCGAACAAAACAGTTTACACTGCAACCCGAACTGTTGCATGCAAAAATAAACTGCTAGTGTTTGATGTAAACACAAATGCCACATTTGGTTGTTCATTTTTGCTATGTATTCTTCAGAATGTGTACAAACTATATTAAACATGGCCCATACCACCTGTAGTACCAGAAAGCATTCTGAGGTATCAAATGCCAAACATTTTTAGACTCCCGAAAGTCAATCCTTTATCTGTTTGCCCAACAATCCCCCACCCCCAACCCACCCCCTTAGCTTTATGTAGTGCTGCAGCTGCAGTTAGCCAGGTAGACCTGCTTTGTGCAACCCCCCTGAAAAATTACACAACCCCTTGCCCAAAAAAATTAAATAGAACACTGGTTTTGTTTCCCCAAGGCCCTCAATGTTCCCTGACGAGAAGCCGAGGGGAACATTGAGGTCGAGGGGAAACAAAACTCACTGTTTCCCATGGCACCAGTCATTAAGTGTTTTGTTATACCTCCCAACTTGAAAATAGAAAAAAACTGCGAAGAAATAGTTTGCTTGATGCCGGCTGGCTCACAAATTTGCCATGGTTTCAAGGAACACGACCAGATCACGTGTGAGTCGAAAGTCCAAGTTGTTGTTTCCCTAGGGAGTTAGTGAGTATTGTTCACCCTAGGGAGTTAGTGAGTTTTGACCCACAACATGTGACACCTTCTCCTCCAGTCCGAAAACGTATTTGAGTTGGGCTGTATAACAATTTTAATTAACCCATTGACGCCTGAAAGAAATTGCACACAACCCACCCCTACATTCCCGGCAGTTTTTTAACATTTCCCAATGAGCATGAGTGCTAAAAATGCGCAGTAACCACAAACACAAGTTTAGGTTTCAAGACATTGTTTATTTTAAGTTAAATAAATGAAGGGCCAAAATATTAAAAAATATTAACAAAAAGAACTCAACTTGATGTTTAAAACTGATAAGAAAACAGGAAATTATATTGTTTCTTTGCCATGTGACAAAATGCCCAACAAAAACCGAGAAAATTGAATATGTGAAAATGAGTCATTATTGACTTCAGAATTGCCATTCTTGTACTATAATGGCTAACATTTGAGAAAACAACAGAAAATAAACACGAAAGGCATGTAGAAACAAGAATGAAAACAAGAAACCAAGTAATTTCTTTACTGCACGACAAAATATTACAGTGCTGCGAAAGAAAGATTAAAATTGTAAGTCAAAACAAAAACAAGCAAATTATTTTGAGACCAATCGTATTTCAACTGTGCTAAATAAGTGGCCACTTACTTCTTTTCTTGGTAGTTCTGTAGTAGCTGAATAAGACTCCAAAAAATATATTTGAACGAGCTAATTGGCTAATCAAACAAACCACGGAGGTCGTGATAAATTAGGTGTGCAGAGATCCAGCAAGCAAAAATACTGTTCACTTTTAAATCTGAAATTCTCGAAAACGGGGTACCAAGTGAAAGAAATGCCAAAGGAAGTTCAATAACAATAAATTTTCATTCAAGCTGAGGTGAAAAAACCTATTTAAAAGCAAAAAAAATGTTCAAAATTTCGCAGACAGGCTTGGCTGCACGACCCCATTTTCAAATTTATTCTTCACACTAGAGCAAAGGGTCTGAGTTTTAAATCCCAAAGCAGTAATTCCTCAATGTTAGGAATGAAAACAAGACCTTTGAAGTTTGCAGATTTGGCCTGCAGCATGCCATGGTAACCTGCACTTTACGTGTGCACGATTTTAAGAAGAAAAACCATCTTTCTAGGATAAAGTCGTCTAAAAATACTGGTATGCTCAGTAAGTCAATTCTGATTGGTTTATTTGTCCTCAAGAACTATAGAACAATAAGAGAACCAAAAAGCTATTGTCCCACATGCTTTTTATCGGGCGGTTACAGGTGGCACAGGAAATTGGTGGGGCTTTTCACCTGGGCGGTTATGGGTGGCATGGGAGTCAATGGGTTGATTAATTAGTCTAGAGGCAGG